TTACAAAAAGCATTACATGAACAGACATTTTACGAAATGATACATACATATATATATATATATGTATGTATGTTTTGATACCTGCATTATTTTCCGCTTCTTTCTTTTGCTGGTAACAGTGAAATAGTCCGAGAAATAATCTGAAATAGCATCTAGAGCCCCCATTTTTGTTTCTCTTTCAGCTCTGAGAGAGGGAGAGAGAGAGAGAGAGAGAGAGCGCGTAAAATAAATGGTGTACCTGGTTGTATTTATAAGCGAAAGGCAAAATGATGGGCCGAAATTAGAGAGATAAACTATGGAATAAGATATGCTTAAAAAAATGTAATTTAATATTTATATAAGTGTTAATACATTTTTTAAAATATGTATTATATAATGTAAAGCTTTAATTAACTTATAATTGACTTGTACCCACCAATCAAGCCAAAATCTGTAAATTATCACACAGAACAACTGGGCATTTTGGCCAAAAATTAACAAGTATAATTCAAGTAATAATAATAAAAAAAAAAACTTTAGAATAATTCTTTATAATATAATATAATATAATGTTTATAGATATTATTGCATGAGGGGTTTGGTTTGCTTGCTTGCTAATGACAGGTTAATGGGGAGCTGTTTTCAGTCATACTGTTTCTTGGGTCCAAAGTTATTACAACCAAATTTGTCGTGAAGTGCAGCGTTTCGTGTCACTTTCATTTTTTTTTTTTTTTTTTACTGACTATTTAATTAAAACCAGCAAACTGTAAATTCAAATTTTACAGTAAAAAATGCAGTAATTATTCGCGAGGGGGGGAGATGGTTACTTATTAAAATTATAAATTAATAAAATAAATAATGTGGGGCCCATCTGTTATGTCTTTTTTCAGTTTTCTGCATCATCGTGAGCATGAAAAGTAAGGCTTCCTCCAGCCAGGTAAAGCTCCCCCTTTTACGCGCTACTTAGTTGTACACACGCCGATGGACCTTTTGGAGCCTTAATGGTATGCCTCTTTCAACCACTCTCTCTCTATATATATATATAAATATACATAATAATAATATTTAAAAATTAAATTATAATAAAATACTTTCTAGAATTTAGAAATAAAATAAATAATTTGATATATAATATATTATATGCATGGTTTCACACTCGATTGACATATTTTATGAGCACTTACGGAATTAAATTAATAATATAATAATGGTGCGTACAAAATTAAACATCTCATTTCCTAAAATATCAAAATTAATAAAGAAATTATTCATATATATTTAAACTAATTTCTTTATTAAAACACTTAATTGATTAGAAAACTTTGAAGACTAGACAAATTTAGAAGCAAGAAATCATGAAAAAGTTTATTAGAAAAATAAAATTGTCCATAATTAATTTATTTACTGAAATTTAAATTGCTAATCATCGAGGATAATTTTGTCATTTCGCTAAAACCGTCACGGCAGCTCTTCTTAACAAACTCCATATTCTCCGCACGAGATGACAAATCGTGAAATGCCACGTGGCATTCCGAATGCATGCCTTCCCTCCAAAACGACACTCTCCTCACTCCTCACTCTGCAACTGACGGACTCAAAAAACCCAAACGACGCCTTTAGCACAAACTCTACCATTTTCTGGACTGACGAACGTATCTCTTCTCCAAGCTTATTCAATGGCGGCCAAGATTCTGCTGTCTCTCATCCTCCTATTCTCTCTCCTCCCTCGCTTCACTGCTCTCCCCGAAAAGTCCGTCCCCGACGCCGCAGCGATGCTCTCTAATTCCGGCTTCCTCGCCATGGGGCTCACCCTCGAATTCGGCTTCCAAAGCCTTATATCTGACACCGTTTCTCTCACCATCTTTGCTCCGCCCGACGCTGTTTTTTCCAAATCAGGTCAGCCCCCACTCGCTCTGTTCCAACTCCACCTCTCCCCGCTTTATCTCTCTCACGAAACCCTCAAGTCCCTCCCCCGCGGCACCAGGATTCCCACTCTCTCATGGAACCACTCTATCTTCGTCACCTCTTCGCCGTCCGATGATCACGTCTCCCTCAACGGCGTCAAGCTGGAAGGATATCCCTTGTACGGTGATGGTTCCTTGATCGTCTTCAAGATTGAGGAGTTTTTTAATCCTAATATGAACTCAAGCTCATTTTACAATACTCCATGCACGGAGTTGAGGAACGGTTCTAGTTTAGTAGGTTCCTCACAGGACCATTCTTTTATGGGAGCTTCTCAGGCTTTGCAATTGAAAGGGTTCTCTATCATGGCCTCGTTTCTTGCCATGCAGGTGGGAAGGGTTGAGGATCAAGCTCCATTAACTGTATTTGCACCTATTGATGATGCATTTAAAGATGATACTGCTCGTCATTGTTTTGAGCATCATTCTCTGTTTCTGAAACTTGTTGTGCCTTGCAAGTTTATGTGGAGCGATCTTGTTACTTTCAAGGACGGAGTCTTCCTATTCCCCACGTATATGGAAGGGTTTAAGATCAATTTCACCAAATCTGGACGCAATTTGAAGATCAATGGAAATCCCATCATTGCTCGAGACATACATTCAAGCGACTGGCTCGTCGTTCATGGGTTAGGGACGAATGAAGCAGAAAGATCTACATCCGGGTTGGGAGTCCACAATCAGACTGGGAGATTTGCGTTTGCATTTTTCGCTCTCTGGGTGATCTTAATCTCCGTACCTTTTTCAGGTTAGAATTTCCGTCTCCCCGCAATTTGAGGAATTATGTTTAAATTCAAATACTTGGTGAAAAATTGTCTGGTGTTGTAGATTTGAAACATTTCTGTCTTTTGGTTTACTATATGTTCAATATGATTCCAGAGAGCTATGATGAACTTAGCGATGTTTCAATTTCATTAGCACTTCCCTTGAGCTAGCTCCTTTTCTTGCCTATAACAGTGAGATTATAAAGGCGATGTTATTGATTTTGCTAAAAAATCTTAGAAATGGATAAACAAATCAAACCAACTTTGCCTGTAATTTGAAAATTCATAATTGTAGAAACTAAGAACTGCGTTGTGCAATGTTTTCCAATTCAGGGTTCTTGTGAATTCAATTATATTGTATTTGGTCTGTACTTTATATGACGCTCTTGCCTGTGGTGCTGCATAAATGCAGTATTGTAAAGATAGCAAGGATGTTTCATTGACGTTAACAATTTCCTTCTGTTGCAAAAACTTCGAGAAGGCTTGAAGACAGGCTCATTCAAGCCATAAGCTTATTTGGGAACATAAATAGCATTTGGAGACGTTTAATAACAAAGTTTTGTGTATCAGACATGTATAAACTCTTAATTCAATTGACACAGAAACTACAAACCATCAGCCATATCCTAATCTTCTGAAAACCCAAACTATCCTATTCATAAGCTAATGTGCAACATTAAGAGCCATACTCATCATTTCAAAGCCCTCTCATTGCCCCCCATGAATTAGTGGAGTTTTCCTTAGTCTATCAATGATCCTTGCAAAAGTTAGAACAGTATCTTTCTTTCCTTGATCAAGAAGAGCTTGTTTCAGATTACTAAACATCTGAGCTGGAGGGCGAATACCCATATCTAGCATCTCTTGAAAGTACTTGCAAGCATCATCTAACTTGTTCTCATGGCATAAACTGTTAATCAATGTAGAGAACATATGCATACCAGGAAGAACTCCCTTGTTCTTCATCTGATCCCAAACCTTCATAGCCATATCAACTCGCTCATTGTTGCAGAACATTCTCACTATTATCTCATAGGTACTAACAGTAGGCTCACACCCCCCATCGCAGCTCATTTCTTGGAACACACGGTAAGCTTCCTTCGTTCTTCGAGCCTTTACCAGGTGATGAAGAATAATATCATAAGTTCGAGAATCTGGACCAATCCCTTGTTTTTTCATCTCATCAACAACCCTGAAAGCATCATGCATCCTCATTGACCAACAGTAAGCTCCAACAACAGCATTATAAGTGGGCCTCTCAGGGGCAAAGCCACTGTTCTTGGATCGACTGAAGAATTCAAGGGCCTCATCTAGTCTCCTCTCAGATCCTAATCCATTAATTAAAGTACAGAAAATGTGAGGACTAGGCTTGCAATTCTTTGTTTCCATTTCGTGAAATAATTTAATGGCGTCATCGTACTTCCTGGCTTTACAGTAGGCATTTATGAGGATGCCATAAGTCACAACGTCTGGCTCAAAACCCTCGTCTCTCATCTCTCGATAAACCTCGTGCAACCTCAATAAGTTCTGCTGCTGACCCCAGCCTTCTAACAAAATCGTGAAGGACTTAATATCAGGTGCGAACCTTCTTTTTTTCATTTTATCAAACACCTCTTGTGCACGTTCCACATTTCTCGACTTGCTCAGAGTATCGATTAATCGATTGAAATCTGAAGTGTCGGGAACCAAACCAAACTTGTTCATTTTCTCAAACGTTTCTATAGCCTCTTTAACCTGTCTGGCTCTTCCGTATCGCCGAGCGATCAGCGCGAAGGTGTCCTTCGTCAACAATCCATTTCGTTTCATGTCACTCACCAAAGACCATATCAGTTTGAATTGCTTAATCTTACCCAGAGAATCAATTAACGCGTTGTAACTATCTGTGCTGTACTTGAAACTTTTTTGTTTCTCTGCCCACCTAAAGAACGATAATGCGAGGACGCCCGCATTGCTGAGCCTTTTCAAAACCTCAACGACGAGTGTCGGGGACACCTCGATCGAAGCGTTATCAAGCAATTTATCGATGGAGGAATTTGAGTTTTGAGACAGCAATTTGCATATATTTTCACTATCTTGTATATCTTTATAGCTTACAGACTCTATATAGGTATGGAGAGTTTTCTCGTTAACCTTCTGAAAGACTTGGATACTGGCATGAACCCATCGGTTATTACTATGGTTATCATTATTATAACGATCTGGAATAAATCCAGATGGAATTTTGCAGTCGGGTACTGTATAGAGAGGGAAATTTCGGTCTATGGTTGTTTTTTGTGAAGATGAGTGTGACCTAGTCAGAGTAGGTGTTGGAATCCAGGGGGAAGAAGATGGAAGACAGGATCTTTTGGGCGATTTTGATATGAAAGTTAAGAAACGAAAGAAACCCATTTCGCATACCTTGCAAGAGGCTTGATATGGGTGGCGTGGATGTTTTTTAAGGAGTGCAAAGTGCAAACCATCATTTCCCTGCCTTCTGAACGGTGTTGATTTAAGGGTAATTTTGTCTAAACAAGTAACCATCTGGCCTAGGAGTAGAGGTGTAAACTGATGGCTCAGATGGCATAAAGCCTTTCTATTGCCAATTTCGTTCCCGGTTTAGATCAGTTGGGAGAATGAGGGACTCCTATTTTGGGACGAATGAGAAAAAATATTGAGCCTGTAATTAAAAAAATTAAAGAAAAACGTCTATGGTACTGTGATGCACATGTTCATGTTATCCGTCAATCCCCTTGAATTGGTTTCCCCTCGAGGCACCGTTTCAGACGGAGTTAAAAGTCAAGTTAAAACAGGGAATTCACAACAATGGACCAACTGAGATTCTGATTGCTTAAACATCGAGAGATTATGGTCCCCTGCAAAACATGGAAACATATCGTCCTTAAAAAATCAATAGCTTCTCCTGCACATTCTTTTTCAGCACCAATCCATGTTTGCAAAAGAACCACTCTTAGCAACCATAATGCAGAAAAAAAAAATATATATATATATATATACATACAGAGAGAGAGAGAGAGAGAGAGGGAGAACAGAGAAGAGAATAAATAATCACATTATAATGAATGAATCTCCGCCCCAACATTCAAAAAGTGCCTAATGGAATAGTGGTAGGACATACAACAGAGCATGCAATGGCAGCACAAGAGAGAGATCCTGATTGATGGAGGGCTCTACCATGAAACATTAAACATCTGAGCCCATGAAAAGCTATCAAAATTCTAATTCTAGCTAATTTCCTGCGATATCTCTTCATCTCCGCCCTGTGTGTAAATACTATCAAAGGAGTGACTCTTAGCCTGTGATGAGAAGAAAGCCCGCAAAATAGGCTCACCCGTACAGACCAAAGAACATATCACATTTCGCTGCAGTCTCTTGAACCCATCAAAAAAATCAGATCAGATGTGAAGAAACTGCATCAAGTCTCTGGATATCCTATTTAATTCTCAGACCCCCTTCATTTGCATTGATTTGATTGCGAGTTCCAGTCATCTAGAAGGTTTGTGATGGTCTCTTCAAACTTCTTGGCATGAGGTCCAGGCTTCAAGACATTGACATCACCCCACTGAGAGCAAGGATCCATCCACCAGCTCTTCCGACCTGTGCACCATGCCCCCAGTGTAGCTTGTTTTTGACCGCGCTTGAGGATCTTCTCATCAACCATGTCCAGTACAGGATCATCCTTTTTGAACTGTCTTGCAAAAGCAGCTCCACTTTGAGCCATCTGCTCATAATTTGATTGATTGAGAAAATGTGGTTCCATCTTTGGAGGGCTGTCCCAGATCATGTATCTTAAATCACTGTTCACAGTCGTGTTCTTAAAATCCGCTGCGTTGCAAATGACAGTATGGAAGTAACCTTCTTCAGGTAAAATTACATTGTTGAAATACATAAGAAGGATTCGTGGTAGGTTATCCCAACCAAAAACACAATATTCAAGAAAAGATCTGCTCAGGACAACCCATGGGGAACCTGCACCAATTCAAAAATTGTAATTTTGAATGCAAGTAATTAATTAAAACACGGTGCAGCGATTATTTTCAGTTATGCAAACAACATAATAGGAATAGGATTTACCTGTAAAAAATTGGAAAGCATCAGGTGTTAACCTCTTCTCTGTAGCTGTAAAAATTTGGGTCCTTCGAGCTAAATACAGCCCTGGATCAACTATGATAGGCTTCACTCTTTGATGTCTAATCAACAGCGATAAAGATGAATTAAATTGAACTGAACAGTTGACTTATGCAATGGAGCTATTACTAAATTTTAGCAAACAGGACTTGCTTACTCTTTCCATCCAAGGTCACTGGTGTGATCAATGAAATTAAGGTCCCTGCTAACAGAGGAAAACACATGGGACAAGTCTGAAAGCAAGTAAATAAAACATATCAGTTAGCTCGCTGCAGATAAGACAGAGAAATAAAAATAAGAACCTTGAAATTTCACCAAAATATGACAATTGACAAATAACTTAAATACAAACCTCAGTTCATGTTTTGCTTAAACCTCTACAGTATCCAATAAAATTAGTATGAATTAGACTGTAATATTGGCATGAAAAATGACCAAACGAGTTCGAAGAAAATATTCAAAGCTTTGTTTCATAATTCTTTTTCAAATACATAGGAGTTTTTTAATTTAGTTATAACAAAAAATTGCATGTGTCTGGTGTGTAGATGCAGCTAGTCTGCTCAAGTAGCAACAGTGCGTATATTTAGCACTTTGTCTAACTTCAGAAGTTCCGTGCAGGTTTAATTCTACAATAGAATATTATTTGCTAATTATTCAACAAACATTAACCCTCATTTTTACTTACAAATAAGTTTCTCAAGGCTTCAATCAATACTAATTAGGAGCAAGCTCATTATCAGGTATATTGTTTCTCCATTTGTCCCACTATAACTTATAGGAGTTTCTTTGATAAAAAAGCCAAAGATATGTGTGCCATTTCATTCTAGTGTAGTCAATGCCCTCAAAAAATTTCTTCTCTTGAGGCCTGAGTTGATTTACAGGCCACACAAAGAAGATATTGATCTACGTACTATTCTACATCAATAATCAAGTTACCGGTTAATCAATAACTCAAATGGTGAACAGTTAGACAAGCAACAATTGAATCCTTAAGCAAGCACCTATACTTGAAGAAGAACCAGAAACTCTAACAAAAGCAAGAAAATGTTCAAGAGAGATAGGTTTATTTTGCTAAAATAAGGCCATTATTTAGATTACAGCTTGCTCTAGGAAAACACGGCCTTGAAACCTCAGGCTTCTACCAATCTCCAATCTAATCTTGCACAAACAAGATTGTGTCATAGTGCTCTTAGACTATTAACTCACACCTAGCACAGAAATCTACAAGAAACACAGTCCAACTTTACAATTTTTTAACATTGCAGCTTATACTATCCTCCACACATGCTTCAAATGCCTATCAATTACATTCTACAAGGACCCTCAATCAATATCCTGTGCAGCCACTGGTGGGGAATCATACAAAAAATGAGATTGACTCACAACAACGTTAAATTTCCAACACAGTTAGCATTGTTTAAATTTCACCTGTGAATTGCTAAAGCTTCTTGCAAAGAAATTAAATGCTTGGAAATGGTCAATCAATGAATAGTTCAGCATTTCAATATTTAATTTTAATAAGCAAGATGCTTATTATCAATTTTCATAAGTTCATGATATTACTTTTCAATTAATGCTCATAGTGTCGGCTTTTCTGCAGCATGACATGGATGCATTTAAGTCCAATTCGCTTGTCGATAAAATTCCTAAAACCCTATTAAATCCATATATCGCACGTGCTTGAAGTAAAAATTTACTAGGATTAAATCTTAAAAAGATGAAATTTAGTCGAAAGTAAATAGAGAACAAGAACAAAAACCAAAGTCACATACTTCCACATGAATAAAAGATATGAAAAACATAATTGACATAAACATTATCTTTAGCCAGTATAACACATTTCAAAGGCATAAATTTTCAGTGAGATAAAATTTAGAAACTAATGAATGCTCCATACCAATTACGGTCAAGTAACAGTTGTTAGGAAAGAATCGGTTCAAAAGAAGAAACAGGGTGCTTCATATCCAGAAAGAAGGCTAGACAAGAGTCTGAGTATGCTAAAATAAAATTGAACTAATTTGAGCAAGCCAACCATTAGCATCTGGTAGATCGCATCAATTAAGAAAATCTAAAGACCAAGTCTCCATTTTCGTGTCCCTTACAAGCAATTCAACCCTTTTTGTTCTTAATCATCACGTAATATAATACTCTTATACTAAATTGTTCAAGACATAAAGCGATTCAAACTTTGCAACTGGTTTTCGTACAAGACATAAATCCAAAGAGATCCTATAAACCACTCCACAAAAGGCAGACAACCGAAGAAAACAATCCAAACTATCAATCTTTGAACCGGAATTTACTGAAAAAAGCTTACCGTCTTGAGTCAGCAGAGGATAATCCAACGCACTCAACGCGATGAACCAGTTCCAGCCGCGATCAATCTTCAGGAGAATTGCCGCAGCGTGCAAAGTTGCCGCTATGTGCGATGAACCCATGTAGGAAAGACGATCGGGTTTCCCCACCACCTCCACATTTCCAAAGCTCTTGACCGCAGGAATCGATTTCACGGCCGAAACGAGCCTTAATCTCTCATCATCAGATGCATCAGCTGTAAGATGCAGCAAGTACCAATTCCTCGGATGGTAAACGGCGAGCAAAAGGCGAAAGATCCGGTCCTTATCGCCGCGGCCACCGGAGATATAGTAGGCGAAAGCAGGTGGGTACGGTGGACCATGGTGGATCACTGAAGGGTATATCCTCGGGGAGCTGAAAACCGACAAGGAATATAGCAGCAGAAAAACAGAAAGCAATGCTGCAGTGTAGAGCGTGAACAGCCATTTCTTTTCAGCTCCCATAATACAGAGAACGCTGATATAGCCCCTTCTACTTCTTTCCTCCTGTTTCCGGTGATGATGAAGCATATAGGGGCGGGGCAGTCAAATCTGGATTTTGGTGTTGAATTTGACCTTTTATTTCTTTAGAATTTACATAGATGGGTACGTTGACATGGGGATCTTGCTATTCCTGGATTTATCCACTGGTTTTGAGAAGATACCCGAGCTAAACATTACATCCGAGACGGATATGGCGCAGAGAGGATTGGGATAGAGAAAAACCAGAATCAGCCCCCAGAACAATTCATCACTCTTCAAATATTCTCTCTCTGTACCTAATTTCTCTATGAAATTGGGAAGCTCTGATCTCTCCGGATACCATTACTACTTCTATTTACTATCTTGAATGAGCTAGGTAGAGCCAGTAACGAGTAAAAATTAGGGTTAGGGTTGTTTTCTCAGGTTGGATTTGTTCGTGATGAAGACAAATAGTTTAGATCGTAACTTTTCATAATTTGATATTTGATCATAAAGCGCGGTAATAGCTCTCCACGCTCTTTGAGGATACGTGAGTCACGCGCGACCGTCAAAGTGATTAGTCGGTTTGGTAAGATAGTGGGCCCCATATTTTAGCCAACAAGATATAGAGATTGATTTCACGCGATCTGGAAAACAGGTGGGAGGTTGGGGGCAGGGTAGTACTCGATCCTTTTGTCTCCTCTCTGATTGGAACTGTTTGATATCATGATTACTTTATTTCCAGCGAATGAAACTTCACATGGAGTTAACAAAATTAGGAGTGGAAATTAGTTTATTTGGTCGGCATGTAGGACTTGAAATGATGGTTAATTCAGAAATTGTTATTATTTGTCGTAAAAGTTTAAACTTATTTGTATTTTTTTTAGGTAAAAGTGTCTTTTTTAAAAGTTAATATATATATATATATATATATATATACAATACGAAGAAAAGCTAGAAGGTTGTATCTCAAATTATGACTTAAACAAAATCTGTTGATTTTTTAAATAAAAATGGGTTAAATTTATATTAGGATTGGGATTCTGCATTGCTTTTTGGTCAAATTTATTTAAATACTTAGAGATATAAGATGAGTAGAGTTGCTCAAGACTTTATCATCTCTAGTTTTTTAAACAAATGTTCATATACATATATATATATATATATGTATTTATCCTTGTCAATGTGCTGCTCAAAAACAGCTGTTAGTTTCTTGCGACAAATGTTTCCTGCCATGTTAAACATGGCTTCGATATTTTAAAAAGGAATCATAAAACGGTTGCATAATTAGCAAACCAGCTTACTCTGAACAAAAAAAGTAAAACAAAATATGTAGGCACAATCTAATTCCAGGATGTTTTATTGGCGGACTTTCATGAGCCATGAGAATTGCCTTCTCAATACTTTCTTCTTCTTTTCCCCAGCATCATCACCCTCATACAGAATTTACTTCATCATCATCGCTGCCTTCGCTGTCGCTGCTGCTGCTGCTTCCGCTTCCGCTTCCACTTCCGCTGCTTCCGCTGCCGCTGCTGCTGCTCGAACTTGAGGACCGACCATCCTTCTCCTCAGCATTCACTTGAGCTCTCAGGGCTTCTGCAGCATTCGGCCCCTTCTCTCCTTCATCACCACTAACATCCACATCTGCAATCTCATCATCGGTGTCATTTTGTTTTGGTACATTGATATCAAATTCACCGTCAACATCAACTTTTTGTTCGTCTGCATTTTCATATTCAGGTGTACCCATACCAAAAATTTCATCGATATCTATATCTTGATGTTCATCACCATCGTCATTCTTAGGTCCTGCTGAGGCGCCAGGCAGGTTCGGGGGGACAGAAGATTTTGCAGAAATCTCCTTAGTAACAGCTTTAGCACCTATATCAGGTTATCAAAGAGAGCACTAAAATTTTTTGAGATATATATTTCAGACAATTGAGAAAATCATAATGCACCCAGTTACATTGTCAAGCTTGGCACTCAAGTGATGGAATTCACCAAATATTAAACCATGCTAGCACCTTTCCCTCAATTGATAGCAAAAGAGTTAATAGCTATATATTAACGAGTGTATAACACGAAGGGAAGCAAACCATGCGTGTAACTCCTGATTTATAACAAGGGAAAAAGACAACTAACAATTTCGGGGGTAAGATAGTGCCCTGAAAAAAAATCCAAAGCTGAGCCCTGAAATCAAGTATAGGAAACTATCCTTCTTATTTTACTAAAATGTGAATTCACAAAATTATATTTAGGTGCTGAAGGAAATTAAAGAAAATGATATCAGCTTGTCCACTTCAAACTTACCAGATTAAATTGATGAAAAAGAGGTTAGAAGAGTAAAACCTTACACAGTGAAAGAGAACAAGAAAAAAAGATATATTATTATCATGGTAATTGGCAAATGGTAAACTCAATCATGATGTTACCAACCAAACATCTTCAAATAATATGAAGGAATCTGGATATAAATAGTATGCTTAGGTGGCAGTCTAAAATATAAGAATACAACACAAAGCTGGCGCCAGTATCTAGGTGACAACAACTATAAGTGCATAGAACTAAGATTAAACCAACAAAGTATTGTCAAAAGATGAAAATTGCAAAATTATTGAAAACGGTAAAATGGAATACTAAAAACTGCACAAGACAGCGAGAGAAATTCAAATGCCAGTACTACGTGTTCGACTACCTGTATAGCCTAAATAATTTTAGCAGCATCAAGGTACCAATATCTATAGTGTGGTTATGAGTTTATTATCAAGTTATTCAAATCTTTAACCACTTTGTTCTCCTTGGATCAGCCAAGAAGCTTCAATCTGATTTATAATCTTAATGTCACACTAGGAAAAACAATACTAAAACAATATAAGCACAAAACCTGGATTCTCTGGCCCACCGATATCGATTCGTTCCACTTCAACCTGGATGATGAATAAGTACAAAGCTTATGTTAACAGAGAAAAGGAAATCAACAGTACATTTAAACTAAAGCTCAGATAAAAGGACAAATATCTAAGTTCATCCTAGGAAGTTCTTGCAGTGTTAAAACAAAAAACTTATCTGCACGCCTTGCAAATATTAAAACCTTCCAAAATCTGTTAGTTTCCCAGATCATCCAATTAGAACCATAAAATTCAAATACTATCAAGCACCAAATGAGACCAAGAAAAAATGTTTCTAGTGAATTTTATTGAGCATTAACAAAATAGTCATTCTTTTTTTTTTTTTTCTGAAATAAAAAAGAGATATCATTTCAAATGTATCAAGGGGGGTACCGCCCAATATACAACAGGTACAGCTCAATCAAATGATCAACAAAATAGTCATTCTAAATGGCTTGACTTTCACAAGAAATTTCTTTACCTTGCCCTATTCCCGAAACTTAAGAGTTCCATTTTTTTCTTGAGCAGTAATTATTTTAGCATTAAAGAGACTCATTTCCACTTGCTTTCAACAATAAAGTTTAGTACTATCAAATTTTATCTTGCAACAAATTCAAACAATTTAAATTACAGCAACTATGCAGAAATGTCTTCATGTATGTCAAGTTCTCGTGTCCTAGACATAATGTATCATGAACTCTTCTGTTTCAAATTCCTTAAGAATTCATACCGTATGTTCATTAAGAAATTTTCTACTGATGTTATTTCTCCAACTGTCCGATGATAGAATAAATGGTACATGGCCGTGCAGGTCAAGAATAATAATATATGCTTGCATAAACCAAATATTTGAAAAATCTACAGTAAAATACCATAATGAGAATCTATTTCATATCAGATCTCAGAACAAGAAAATAATTACTGTCTAGGATCACATGCCTTAGTGGAATGATCGGACATATGATAGAAGAACTATCTGGTGAGGTATCTGGATTTGATTCAGGTCGGTTAGAGCTTGAAAGAGAGAGAGTGGTACATCTAATTGGAAAAGAAGTTTATGAGACATCTCCAGTCATGCCCATACCATAGATAGTAGGATCCAGGTCTAGATTCAAGTAAAGCAAGAAACCAAACTATTCAGCAACTTATGAGTAATAATACTTACCAAATCATGTGAAATATTGTATTTCTCTTTTTAAGAAATGGCATGGAACTAGTTTGGAAACTAACATATATTGGTGCCCCCCAGCATTCTAATTAAGTTACCACCATCAGAAGATACCATGAGTATCTGTTCTTAACATATTAAGCAATGAATGTATGACTCCTATTTAGCAAGTCGACCAGTAAAAAACTATGCAAAAAAGGAATTCATCGAACCACAAAATTTTTGAATATTATATATGCACGAAAATTCCTTGATCATCTTCCGAGAAAAAAACAACAGAATATCAACTTAAATTCAATTAACAGCTCACCGGCACAGCAGGGGCAGAGCTTCTACCCACAAATACAGGTTTTGTACCCTTTCCAACTGGAGATAATCGAGGCTCCACAGACAGAGATGCTTGAGCAGCTGCTGCAGATTCGCCCGGCTGCCTAAGGTGCCGAAGTTGTTTCACAGCTCGGTGAAGCCTCTCCAACCGGAAACTCTCACCGTCAAAAAATAGTACTGCGTCATTTTCTTTATAATCTTCGCTGCTTCCCTCAAAGGTTACCTTGGGCTTTCCCAATTGATTGTTGTGAAATTCCACTGAAACTCTATTTTCCTTATTTTTGTGCAAAGATCCAGGCTTAGTCTTATCAATTGAAGCAGGCTTAAATTCATCTACACGAATGCCAAAGTTCAATTATACACATGTACGTCTATACATCTATATCAATTCGTGGATCAAACACTGACATAAACCAGCAATGTGGCAGATATGAATATTGCGAATTTCCCACTAGTATCTATCGTCGGTGTTGCCATACTACAGGTCAAGCTCAATCCTATTCATAGTAATCTCGCATCAATTAAGAATTTAATCGAAACGAACCTAGTACAGGAGAAACATATAAAATTGGGGAAAACGAACAAAGAACAAACACTAAAAGATAATCTAATATCAATTTCCCTCTTTCCTTTACTTCCATTATTTCGTCATCGTTTTCCTGCATTATCTGGGGATCAAACGGGAAACTTACATCGTAAAGTGCAGTATTTGTTAGATGAATCGTTCTTGAATGAGGAGCCTAGCGTCAGATCGTACCAGCGATCGGACTGCGGAGCGGTCTTGGGCTCTTCCTTGGAGTTGTTCGCCATCATGGAGAAAGGTCAAGGAACGGCAGGATAAGTGTACAAGGCCATGGAGGAACCACAGGCCACTGACATGTGAAGATCCCGAGCTACGAACGATCGATATGATAACGGAGTTCTAGTGCTGTGCGTAGAGAACTCCAATGAACATAGGGTTTTCGTAGGAACAAGAAGTCGATTTTCCGAACGCAGGTTCGTATTCAGTGTGCCCAAGTCACTGGCGCACACCGTAAGGGTAGTTTACTATGAAAACACCGTAAAAGTTTGAACTTTTATATCTAAGAATCCGACGTCGTCCAACTCATCCCAAAAGACTGTAAGCCATTATTTATTATATTCGTTGAGAAGGACACTGAGAATCTATTTTAATTAGCTTGATATTTATGCTGTGAAATGATAAAATATTATTAAATTAAAAATATTTTCAATAAATAAAACTGTAAGGTATTTAATTTAACGTAAATAATTAAATATAAATTTAAAATATATATAAAGCAAGTCGAATTCAAATAAATTTTGAAATATCAAATCTGAACTCGCCTTAATCTGCCGTTCTCTTTCCTTTAATCGACTTGAAGTTATACACTTTAATGAAAAATTCATATTAAATTACGTTCAAATTGATCTAATTAAATGAATTTTGATGTAAAATATTATTTCTTTATCCAAATTAATTAGACCTTATTATATTATGTTCGTATTATATTATTTTATCTAAATTGATGATTGTAAATAGAAAGATGGTCTGAAATCCTCTCATAAATCTAACTCCGCTAATATTTTATTGCATCTTTTTCATTTTAAATATTGAAAATCATAACAAGTTATTTTCATTTCATTGTTTTTGGGCCCGACCTCATAATGCGTGATTATGTTATTCCAAGCATCTTTTTAGTTTTTTTTTTTAGTTAAATCCAATGAATACGAGTATGGTATTTAAAGTAACGGAGAAACATAGAAAATGAGATAAAGTTATCAAGTAAAAAAAAAAAAGACGGGTAAACAAGAACAAACGAGGTTAATAAATACAAAACAAAATTATTCGTGTGAACATATAAAGCAATATATTTAAGAAGCTTACGTATTTGTAAAAGCTGATTTTAATTTCAACTTTTGCTTCATACATAATACGTTATAATTAAAACTTGTTATCAAACAAAATTTAAAAAAAAATAATAATTATAAGACGTAACGAATGTATTGTAAAATTATATTATATATTTTTTTTATAAAATTAAAATTTAAACTAAATTTATCATAAAATTATATTATATTTTACTGGTTGGTAATCGAGGTAGATGTAATAAATACAAAATTGACTTAAGAATGATAAATCAATGGGGAGTTAACACTGCAAAAGAAATCTGTGTTGGGTCCGGGTCCGGGTCCGGGTTCGGGTCCGGGTCCGACCCAGACTTTTACTAGATTAGGAGGTAGAGCCCATAAGTCCCGAGCCCGCCTTATCTTCAGCTGCGGCCAACATTTACTTGGATGGCAATAATTCCGTGAAGAAACAAAAACCCACAAAGAAAACGACCTCGTTTGACATTTCTATATATAGACTTGGCAGAACGACGACGTCTCATCCTTCTTGCAAACAATATCTTACCCCTGTAAGAATATTCAAACTCGAGAAAAGTGCAAAATTATTGAGTCATTAATTAAAAATATCCAAAGTCATCCCGCAACTGTGCTTTAGCTCTCTGCTCAACAGAGGTGCGAGCAGCTAGTGGAGGCCAAGCGTAATTTCGTACTAAGAAAAATGGTCCATTTTGGCGCGAAAAAGGTGGGCAAGGTGGTGGCCGGTTTTGGTGGGAGCGGTGTCGGCCAGATTCTGGTCGCCATGACCGCTGCCCTTTTGCTCCGCCTGTTTTCCGGTCCCGGCCCGGCTATGTTGCCAGAAAACGAGGCCGATAACGATGATAACGAAATGGCCGGGGACGGTGACGGAGGGGAAGCTCCACCGGCCGGCAAAGTTTTCCCGATGACAATTCGGTGGAGGAACATTACGTGCTCGCTCTCTGACAAGTCGTCCAAATCAGTTAGTGGCTATATTTGAAATCTTAGATTTGCTTTCGAGTTCTGTTTGGTGGCTGAGAAAGTGCCAGAAAAGTGAAGGCTCTAAAGTTTTTCAAATATTTGTTTAACCGAATCAACAGACTGGAGGCGTGCCGCTTGTTTTCCATTATGTAACGTGTTAGGATGAAATAATTTAGAATCGGAAATTAAGTTATTGGATGGATGGTGCATGCTCAGTTTTATTAAGTACCGTAGAGTTTCTAATACAATTGTATAAAGATGTGCAAGTAACTATTCGAAATGCTGGTATAATATGGAAGGAATCAAAATTACAGTATAGGTGATATTACTTTTACAACGGTATAATATTTCCTCTCATCGCCAAGAAGAGGTTGCTATAATATATTGCTTTGCATCGATTGTGTCTTATGGTAAGA